TTGGTCGTCACAGAGGCGGGCCCTCCCCTTGTGCCTCGTCACAAGGGAACGTTGCCTGCGTGGTCGTCACAGGCGGGTGCTTTCCTCGCGCCTCGTCACAGGGGAGCGCTGCCTGTGTGGTCGTCGCAGGCGGGCCTTTCTTTTGAGCCTCGACACGGGGAGCCCTGCTCGTGTGGTCGTCGCAGAGGCGGGCCTTCTGTGACGACCACACAGGCGAGCCCTGCTTCTGAGCGTTCCCCCCCGGTGTGGGAAACTATTTCCCCAAACAGCTTGCTGAACGGGGTGCTGTTGTGATAAAAGCTAACTCCGGCCGAGGGATGTCGGAGCAGAGACATCCTCACAAAAATTTGATGGTCTGGCCGTTTCGCTTGAGACATCCTCACAACTCTCGTTTCTGAGTTGGCCGGGATTGGCCGTTTCGCCTGAGACATCCTCGAAAAGATGCGCTCCGGGACGCCGCGCGAGAGGTGGTCCGGGCCGTTTCGCTTGAGACATCCTCGAAACTCTGAGCCCCGAGGTGCCGTGCGAGAGGTGGTCCGGGCCGCTTCGCCTGAGACATCCTCGAAACTCTGAGCTCTGAGATGCCTTGCGCGAGGTGGTCCGGCCCGTTTCGCCTGAGACATCCTCGAAACTCTGACTTCGGAGATGCCGCGCGAGAGGTGGTCCGGCTCGTTTCGCCTGAGACATCCTCGAACTTCTGAGCTCTGAGATGCCCTGCGCGAGGTGGTCAGGCCCGTCTCGCCTGAGACATCCTTGCAACTCTGAGCTCTGAGATGCCGTGCGCAAGGTGGTCCGGCCCGTTTCGCACAAGACATTCTCGCAACTCTGAGCTCTCAGATGATGCGCAAGAGGTGGTCCAGCCTGGGGGCCCAGAAGACCAAATGTTACATATCCTCCATGGGACCCTGCGAGCCTCAGGAGGCCCCAGGGAGGTCCAGGAGGCCGCAGGACGCTCAGGACAGGCCCCAGGGGCCCCCAGGAGATTCCCAGGAGGCTCCCAGGAGGCCCCAGGAGGCCCTCTATCAGAACGTGTCAAATTAATACACATCTGGTGACGATTCGTTGATTCTTCCTGCTCTTGTGCCCCCCCCTCCATTTGGAGAGGCCCAAACGGCCACAGGTTAGATATCCACCCTGGGAGCCCCAAGAGGCTTCAGGAAACCTCAGGTGGAGTTCAGGAGGCCACAGGAGGCCCAGGAGGAAGCCCCAGGAGGTCCCCAGGAGGCCCCAGGAGGCACCAGGAGGCCGCAGGACGCCCAGGACAGGCCCCAGGGGTCTCCAGGAGATTCCCAGGAGGCTCCCAGGAGGCCCCAGGAGGCCGCCTATCAGAACGTGTCAAGTTAATACACATCTGGTGTGGATTCGTTGATTCTTCCTGCTCTTGTGCCCCCCCAAACAGCCACAGGTTAGATATCGCCCCTGGGAGCCCCAAGAGGCTTCAGGAAACCCCAGGTGGAGTTCACGAGGCCACAGGAGGCCCAGGAGGAAGCTCCAGGAGGTCCCCAGGAGGCCCAGGAGGCACCAGGAGGCCCCCGCAACTCGGAGCTCTGAGACGCCGCGCTCGAGGTGGTCCAGCCCGTTTCGCCTGAGACTTCCTCGCAGCACGTTTCGCCCGAGACATCGTCGCAACTCTTGGGTCCGAGATGCCGCGCGCGAGGTGGTCCAGCCCGTTACGCTGGAGACATCCTCGCAACTCTAGGCTCCGAGATGCCGTTCGGGATGAAGAGGAGGTGGAGGAGGAGGAGGAGGAGGAGGAGGAGGAGGAGGAGGAGGAGGAGATGGAAGGGAGAAGGAGGAGGCGGATGATGTGCATGAGGGAGCAGGCAGCAGGAGGGGGAGGCCCCAGAGAGCTCCAGGAGGCCGCAGGACGCCCAGGACAGGCCCCAGGAGTCTCCAGGAGATTCCCAGGAGGCTCCCAAGAGGCCCCAGGAGGCCGCCTATCAGAACGTGTCAAGTTAATACACATCCGGTGTCGATTCGTTGACTTTTCCTGCTCTTGTGCCCCCCCCTCCATTTGGAGAGGTCCAAACGGCCACAGGTTAGATATCCCCCCTGGGAGCCCCAAGAGGCTTCAGGAAGCCCCAGGTGGAGTTCAGGAGGCTACAGGAGGCCCAGGAGGAAGCCCCAGGAGGTCCCCAGGAGGCCCCAGGAGGCACCAGGAGGTCCCCGCAACTCGGAGCTCTGAGGCGCCGCGCTCGAGGTGGTCCGGCCCGTTTCGCCTGAGACTTCCTCGCACCACGTTTGCCAGCGACATCGTCGCAACTCTGGGGTCCGAGATGCCGCGCGCGAGGTGGTCCAGCCCGTTACGCCGGAGACATCCTCGCAACTCTAGGCTCCGAGATGCCGTTCGGGATGAAGAGGAGGTGGAGGAGGAGGAGGAGGAGGAGGAGGAGAAGGAGAAGGAAATGGAAAGGAGAAGGAGGAGGCGGATGATGTGCATGAGGGAGCAGGCAGGAGGAGGGGGAGGAGGAGGAGGAGGAGGAGGAGGAGGAGGAGGGAG